CTCCTAAATGAGTAAAGAAGGGACTAGTGGAGAAAGTGTGTTCGCCGTAGGCAGCAAGCGAGGACATTCCGGAAAATGAAGACAAGGCCTGGAACATGGCGGGCCGACGGCGAAAAGTGCAACGGACCTGCAATTATAGTATACCAGTGAATCAACATAACAAATCAATACGAAAAAACGACGGAATGCTAATATTGATACAAATCCCGGCGAAAAACGAAAACATGCGAATGACGAATTAATGCGAAAAACGAAGTAAGGCTAATAAGAATAACAGTAAGGTGAATCCCGCCGAAAAACGAAGACATACGAATGGCGATGTAATACGAAGAAACAACGGAATACGAATCTCACATCAATGCGAAGCACTGGGAAGAAGGAAGACATGCGAATAACGAATCAATGCGAAACCGATGTAGAGAGAATAGAGCATTAATGCGAATCACTGCGAAGACTAACGAAGATATGCGAATACCGATGTGCAAAACGAGGGAATGCGACTCTAAACATTACTGCGTATCACTTGGAAGAACAGGAACCTAACTTTCATGCGAATCAATGCATAGAACGCGGACAAGCGACCAGCGAGACAATGTAACAAATAGACGTAAGACAAATACAATATTAATTCGAACGACGGCGAAGAACGTAGATATGAGAATAGCTAGCGATTCCAAGGCGAAAACCGACCAACGTGGACATACCTATAAGGCGACTCACTGCGAATCATTGCGAAGAACGAATTAGGACAACCGAATAACAAATCAATGAATAGTTTAATTAACGCAAGCGAACTATAACTTAACAAAAATCTGGATTGATTTTAGCTCTCTCACACCCGACAACGGAATTCCTAAAAAAACCCAAAACACGAGCAATCCAGACTTTCAAAGAAAATATTAATCTATGATTCTGTTACTAAGTGTAATGTATGGGTCACGTCTCCTGTATTCAGCATGCACTCTTGTAAATAGTTTTGCTTTGTCTCTACGTATTTTCTTGTACACCCGTGGTATATAAATTGCCGACGCCCCTCATGAAAACCAATGTATGTTGCTGAGGTTAGCGTCTTGACATAAATGTTTACGATACAACACGCCGAGACGCCGACGTAATGCGAATAACATTAATGCACGAATAATCTAACATTAATGCGAATCACTGCAAAAACCGAAGACACATGCATGCGAATAACGAACTATCACTGCGAAACCGACGTAATGGGAATATAATATGAAGGCGAACACTCGAAGAAAGAAGACAAGCGAAAAAAAACAAAACAAATCACGGCAAAGAACGAAGACATGCGACTAGCTATAGTGATTCATTAATATTATACACAGGGGAGTCAGTGGACAAGTTTATAAATGATCTAGATTAGATTTATCGGGATTTATACAAGGTTCGTAAGTATTTAATGAGACTCACTGCGAAGAACGAAGACACAAGCGAATAACGAATTGCGCAAGTGACGTAATGCGAATATGATATGAATGCGAATCAATGCGAATAACGAATGCGAATAACGAATCAATGCGAATAACGACGGAATGCGAATAACGAATCAAATACGAATAACGAATGCGCATGCGAATAACAATTCAATGCGAAAAGCGAATGCGAATCACGAATCAAAACGACGAGATACGAAGAATGCATGAGAATAACGACTCAAACGACTGAATGCGAATAATGAATGGGAATAACGAATCAATGCGAAAACAAATGCGAATGCGAATAACGGCGAATCAAACGACGGACTGCGAATAACGATTAATCTTGTGAATCTACTCTAATGTTGATCTGTCAACACCTTCTCGATAACATTGAGCAAGGTTTAATTAATGGTATAGCTCTAATTGACCTCTCCAAAGCGTTTGACCTGGTCGATCATAGATTGCTACTGCAGAAATTAGAACAATATGGCATTAGTCCAATAGCTTTAAAATGGTTTAAATCGTATTTAAATGATCGTTACCAAGTAGTATAAATTGCATCATTCCTATCCAACCCAGCTCTGATAAAGTCTGGTGTGCCTCAAGGATCTATACTAGGACCAATTCTCTTTCTTATCTTTATTAACGATTTATACCCAGTTACGTTGGAAGTTCTAAGCCTTTTTATTTGCCGATGACTCTACACTAATATCCTCCGGATTGGACCTTCACGAACTTAGTGTCTCTCTAAAGTCAGATATGACCTCAGTGTCCCGTTGGACTAACCATAACAAAATGTCTCTTAATCATGGCAAGACAAAAATAATGAAAATATATTCCCAATCCAAATTCCCTGATCTTAGTCCAATAACCATTGAAGTCAATAACAATAATGTTAAGGAGATTACATCCGCCATTTTACTTGGAGTTACATTAGACCAACATCTGAAATGGGATAAGCAAATTAATACCATCTACAATATAATCAATTCTAGACATTACCTGCTCAAACGTATACGTAGCTATCTCACTTTTCAAACCCGTATTCAATTATATTACGCACTAATCTACCCACACTTGCTATATTGTAGCACAGTCTGGGGCAATGCTAATAACGATCTAATTACGTGCCTACTAAAACTACAGAAACGTGCAGCGAGACTAATTCTTGATCAGTCAACTGAAGTGCCTTCAATTGTGCTTTTCCGTAAACTCAACTGGATACCTATTTTTAATTTGATCAAAATGAGAAAAATATTATTGGTATTCAATACTTTAAAAACATCTTGGCCGCCGGATCTTCGTAAATTGTTTGTCTTTGTTCGCGACTCTCATCCAATTCCAACTAGATCGTCTATTACAGACTTAAAAGTTCCATCAGTTAAGACCACGCTAGCAAAATCCAAAATTTCCTTCAGTGGTGCAAGTTTATTTAATTCTTTACCTTCCGAATTAATTAAACGATATTGAAAATCACTCAATTTATTCCTATAAAAAGAAGCTCAAAACCTACTTTATTCAATTGAATTATGAAGTAGATCACGTTAATAAATTCCGCTGAATCGATTGTAAGCATATTACTCATTGTCAATGTTACTCTCAATAGGATTTTCTTTTTATATATTACTATTAGATATCGAGGGCCATTGGGAAGAATACTATATTAAGTAATCAATGTAATCCCTCATTAAATAAAGTTTTATTATTATTATTATTATTATTATTATTATTAACGACTCAATACGAAACCGACGTAATGCGAACATAACATTAGACGCGAATAACTGCGAAGACGAAGACATACGAATAACGAACTGATTACTGCAAAACCGACGTAATGGGAATAGAACATGAAGGCGAACACTTGAAGAAAGCCTAGGCGAAAAAAACAAAACAAAAAAAACAAACGAATCACGACAAAGAACGACGACATGCGACTAGCTATAGTGATTCCTTTTTATTAGACACAGGGGAGTCAGTAGACAAGTTTATAAATGAACGAGGTTAGATTTATCGGGATTTATACAAGGTTCGTAAGTATTTAATGCGACTCACTGCGAAGAACGAAGACACAAGCGAATAACGAATTGCGCAACCGACGTAATGCGAATATAATATGAATGCGAATCAGTTCGACTAACGAATGCGAATAACGCATCAATGCGAATAACGGATTGCGAATAACGAATCAAATACGACTAACGAATCAAATACGAATAGCGAATGCAAATAACAAATCAATGCGAAAGCGAATGCGAAACACCAATCAATGTGAAACTGCACGTACTGGGAATATAACAGTAATGCGAATCATTGTGAAAAACGAGGACATGCAAAGTATGAATCAATGTACCAAATCTACGTAGATCTTTTCGATTGAATAGTGAATGGATAATACCTATGATCTTAGAAATAGAGAAACCGATTTGTCTCTTCTTAAACCGAATACCGGTTTTGGTAAAAGACTATATAACGGAGCGGTAGTATGGACTAATTTACCGTATGAGGTAAAAGTAGCGGAATCTTTTTGTTCTTTTAATTTAAAAAGAACTATTTATCAGGCAAGTACTGAAAATTGGCTCGTCCTGTTGCCTATATAGTAAATAGTAATTCTTCTTTCTTTGTTTTTGTATGTTGTATAATCTAGTTGTATAATCTTTGTTTTTGTATGTTGTATAATCTAATATAATGTTTATCGGTGCAGGATGTTCTTCTAAAATCATGCCCCTCGTGGAAATCAGTTCTGAGTTGTTGAGACCAGCGTGCATAAATAACTTGTTGTATGTGTGTATGTGTGTATGTGTGTGTGCGTGTATGCGTGTGTGTGTGTGTGTGTGTGTGTGTACCTGTTAGATACATTTATGAAAGACAGAAATATGTTTAATGGAAGCACAGAAACAGCATGGCCAAATGAACATCTAAGAACATTTAACACCTCGCCTTCAGACACTTCTCTTTGAGGCTATAAAAGTGCAAAATCGTTAAGGATTCAAGTACTGCTGGGCTAAGAACAACTACATTTGTCTTCGAAAATCTGATGACTCGAGTGTAGTAAGAATGAAGACACTTGAGGACCTGGCTAAGCTGACAACGGTTGAAGATGCAAAATGATCTGTACATTAAGGTAAGTAGAATTATACACTAAAAATATATTGTGTGATAACAATGGGGAGCAAACATGACGAAAAAGTAAACAAAGCTATGTTTCGCGAACTGCCCTATAACGGTGTTAATATTGTTGCTAGTCACGGACAATTTAATAACAGTCTTTCTCCAAATCATATCGCTAAAAACTATTTAGATAAGCTTACTAGTGTATATGATCTGGACCTATTTAATCTGAATACAAATCCTAGTTCGGATATAAACCCCGATCACAATATTATCAGTAACCATATTCATAGTAGGTATTATTCACCCAATAGCTTTCAAAAAATTGACAAAGCTCCAAATAATTTATATAATAACCGATTCACATTCTTTCATAATAATGTAATGTAGCTTGAGGAAAAACCTTGATCATCTGCAAACCCATATATTGGATGAACTTGGTTTTTCTTTTAGTATTATAGGTATAACTGAAACTCGCATAACAGATGCTACTATTGATAACTTCAATTACAATATTCCTGAGTACTCGTTTGAATTTGTTCCAACGCCTCTTGCTGCAGGAGGAGTTGGAATGTATATAAACAATGAGCTTAGATATTTTATTATTGAAAAATCCGCGAACAAGGACTTTCAAGCTCTATAAATGGATTGAAATTCTTATGCCAAATAGGAAGAATATTATTTGTGGTGTAATATATAGGCAACATAGTTCACCAGAATGTTTCCTAAATTATTTTGAAGAAAAACTCGAATATTTCACTTCTCTGGGCAAAACTGTTGTTGTCATGGGCGATTTTAACATAGATTTGCTTAAAATCGATAGCTGTAATTATGCGCATAATTTTTTATTGACTTTACAAAGTTGTTCAATGACCCCTAGCATTAATAAACCAACCCGTGTCCACAGGGACTCTACCACGCTAATTGATAACATTTCATTAATATTCCGGATAAAATATTAACGAGCGGTAATGTCGTATCGGACGTAAGTGATCATTTTTCTCAATTCTGTATTATAGATTTAATTTCAGCTAAGAACAACGTAACAAAATTTAAAATTAGAAACTACTCTCGTTATTTGGAGACTTATTCCTTCAAGATCTGTCACAAATAGATTGGAATTCCATAATAGCTAACCATGGACATGATCCTGATAAACTGTTTTCGACCTTTTACAACCAGGTTAACAAATTTGTAAACAAACATGCACCTCTCAAAATGATTTCCAAACGAATGGCTAAGACTTTCACGAAACCTTGGATATCCAAAGGCTTAAGAGTATCAATTAAAATTAAAAATGCATTATTTTACTCAAACCCTTTCAAATATAAAATTTATAGGAACTCGATTGTAACCTTAACACGAGCAAGCAAGAGACTGTATTACCATACATACTTTAGCTTAAATCTAAACAATATGAAAAAGGCCTGGGATGGGATAAGGGATTTAATTGGAGGTGGCAAAAAACGTAAAAATGAAATTAATGCGATGGCGCAATGTGCCACTGACAGCCAATTAATTCACGATCCCCATCCAGATAATCATTTGCTTCTTGTGGTCATCGTTTAGCAGCTAAGATGCCTCATTCAGAAAAAAACATTTCTCTGAATATCTCCCAAATCAGAACACCGATTACGAAAATATAGCCTCTCAGCATGGCTCATTTGCATTCTTTCCAGTAACTCCATCCGAGATAGAACTTGAAATTACCTTATTACCAATTAATAAGTCGTATGGCTTATATTCCTGCCCTACACGTATCTTAAAATGCGCAAAAAATATTCTAAGCAAACCTCTAGTTGGCATTATTAATACTTCTATTGAGCGAGAAATCTACCCCAAAAAAATTAAAAATTGCAAAAATTATTCCAATTTACAAAGATGGTGTAGATACCGATCCAAACAATTACCGCCCTATATCACTTTTATCTATTTTTAATAAAATTTTCGAAATCCTAATGAACTCGCGATTGAAAAACTTTCTTAAGTTAAGAATTTTTTTTAGTGATTCTCGATATGGTTTTCGCGAACAACATTCTATACAACATGCTCTTCTTGATATTATCAACAAAATCCAAAGTAACATGGATAATAAACTTTTCTCTTGTGGAATATTTATCGACTTAAAAAAAGCGTTTGATACTGTCGACCACGACATTCTATTATGCAAATTAAAGTACTATGGTATAAGAGGTGTTGTCAATGATTGGTTTTCCTCTTACCTAAAAAACCGCTCGCAAACCACTCTTGTATAGGAAATTGTATATCTGATAAAGAGGAGACCCTATGTGGAGTACCGCAGGGTTCTGTTCTTGGACCTCTTCTTTTTCTGATTTACATAAATGATATTTGTAATTCATCTAAGGTATTTAATTTCTTTCTCTTTGCGGACGATACCAACCTATTATATGCTAACAAAAGTTTAAAAACTTTAGAATCAGTGGTAAATTTCGAGTTGAGGGAAGTTTGTAAGTGGCTAAATGCTAATAAACTAACATTAAATATAAAAAAAATCAAATTTTGTAATCTTTCGACCATCGCATAAACCAATGACCTATCAGCCTACTATTAAACTTTTTGACAATAATTCGAAAAAATACACACCTCTCGAAAGTAAGGATTAAATAAAATATCTTGGCATTCTCATTGATTGCACTTTGTCTTGGAAACAACACATTAATTACATTGCACTAAAGATTAGCAAAACTGTTGGAATCATTGCAAAACTCCGACATTATGTCCCATTCCATACCTTAATGAACATATATAAGTCATTAATTCAGCCATATCTATCATATGGAGTTGTTGCATGGGGATATGCAGCCAAAAAATATACGGACAAACTTCTCAAACTCCAGAAACGTGTGCTGAGACTTATCTATTTCAAAGACAATCGTGAACACTCTATCCCTCTATTTATCTCTTCAAACACCCTCCCTCTCAACATAACTTGTTACATGATATTTCTAATGAAGTTGCACCAATTGCTCTTCAAGAATTATTTACCAAAACATGCGAGATTCATAGATATAATACGAGAGCAGCTGCGAACAAGAATTTTTACATCAATTCTTCACGATTAGAAATCCAAAAACGCTCATTTTCTCGATTTGGTTTTTTTATCTGGAATAGTATTTCTCCAAGTTTCCGTGCGCAAAGGAAACATACCTTCAAAACCAAATTAAACAAAACACTTATGACAATTCTACAGAAGGAAAATGACCATATTGATCTGCCCTTGATAATAAACAGATTGCCTATTGAAACCAAACCATCCTACAATTGATTGTATAATCTCAATTTTTGTGGTTATATAATTACGTGCTCAAATTCATTCCTATATTTAGCACTTTAGCGAGATTTCAATATTACCAATTTATTAACTTTACATAAGCAAATATATATTGGCTTAAGCATGCAGTTCTGCTTGTAATATAACTTTGTAACCGTAGCGAGCAGACGTGTTTTAGATCGCTCCTCAAAAATGTAATTCAGGGCGGTTGTTCAGTCATTGCCAGTATTAAACTAAAGTTTAAATAATTTCGAAAGCACATTGTTGTTTGTATAAACTGGTGGTCTAACTAAAACGTTTGAAGAACGGAAATGTCGCTTGTTGGTGTAAAAACCAGGTCTAATAATACTCAAGCAGATATTCAAGAGGTTGTGCAATCCGAAATATCAAAATATCT